AGAGAGAGAGAGAGAGAGAGAGAGAGAGAGAGAGAGAGAGAGAGAGATAAAATTGTGGAATTTTTTATAAAGAGAAAAGTAATGATATGGCCATGGGTAATAATCTTACCATGAGTTTACTTTATACAGGTTATTCTAATTTCACAATATGGATGAAGTCTTCAGATTGTATAATTTTTTTGACTGTGTTTCAAATGCTATACACACTCGTTTCCAATTATAGATGGTTCCCTGTCAGTTACTCCAGTGTGGGCAACCTCCTTCACACACAGATACATGATGATCTCTGGTACTCTGGTAGAGTGGACTCAGGTCTCTGCTGCTAAAAGAATTTCTAGTTTGCCCCTTTCCTCTCCTCCTCTCCAGTCTCTCCAAAGTGGTCTTTTCCTTCCTGCACCCTGAGCTTCACCTGTTCCCTTCTGGTTTCTCCAACTTTTTTAAATTGATTTTTATTGAACTCTACATTTTTCTCTGCTCCCCTCCCTGCCTCTCCTCTCCCCCCTTCAACCCTCCCCTAAGGTCCCCATGCTCCCAATTTATTCAGGAGATCTTGTCTTTCTCTACTTTCTCCTTCCCATGTAGATTAGATCTATGTAAGTTTCTCTGAGGGTCCTCATTGTTGTCTAAGTTCTCTAGGATTGTGGAACAAAGCAGTTCTCTTAAGTGCTATATGCTATAACAGTCCTCTTGGTGGTTTCTGAAATATCCTTTACAAATGAAGTGTTTACAATTATGATGCAGCATTACCGTTAGAAGTAAGTGAGAAATAGATTTCAGGAGCACTGGGCTCAATTGATTTGAAGAATGGGTGAGGAAAATAATGTCACCACCTTCTCTCTGGACAGAAGACCCCTACTGATGAATAAGTCTATAACATATGTTTATAACTTGGAATGCCCAAATGTTTAGGCCTCACTTCAACTATCTAAATGTAAAGAAAACGTGTGTGTATAAATATATACACACAGAAAGATGGCTTCTTATAATTGATTAACACATAACAAGAACTGGACTCCTCTTGTAAGCGCCACGCATGCTGCGAGTTGAAGACTACCCCTGAGCCTTCTCACCAGTTCTGTCTCTTGTCTACACCCATGACTGCCTGTATTGTGCCAGTATGCGCATGTGTGTTAATTAAAGTGTACTTTTCATAGTTGCACCACTGTGGTATGTTAGCGTGGAGCCGTGTCACCTATTAACACATCAGCATGGGCTGTTCCATCTTGATTTTCAGAGAGTTGAAGCTTGATTAGTGACATTGGGGCACAGGGACAATTCCATGGAGAACAGAGATCAGGAAGCCCCCCAGCGTGAAGTGAGAGGGTTCATCCACATGGAGCCAGAGTCAGTGCTATTGGGGGATGTCAGGAGCCAGGCGGTGCTATTGAACCCTGCACAGATTGAGATATTGACCAAAGGGTGTCCTACGGAGGAGTAATGAGAAGACCAAGTTTGGCCTCTCAGGAGTTACCCAGTGTGTTGTCTATAATCCACCTCAAGCAGATGTTGGCAGAATCACACTGTTTTTGTCCTGGGGTGATTTAATGTTAGTATGTTTTTGGACAGTAAATGTATTTGTATGGCTTCTTTTCTAAAATTAAGTTTCTCGAGGAATTGTGATCTTTTTTGTTCTAATTTCATTTAAGCAATCTATTTTACCTCAAAACCATTATTCCAAAGGAAAACAGTTCACATATAGAGAACAAGTAATTCTTCCTTTAATAAGACATTTCCAATTATAGCCATGGGGTAGCCAATCCGCTGCAGGGTGTTGGGTTTCTTTCAGTGTTCCATATGCTTATTTCTGATTAGAAGGAAAGATGTGTGGCTCCTGTAAGTGGTGAATTACACCCTGTGGATGGGGGGGGGGGTACTTTATTCTCACAGATTTTTTTAAATTATAAAAGCTGTGAAGAGTTTTCATTTTTTGAAAACATTCCTTTAAAATATTTTTTTGCCTTAATTCTCCATGTTACGGTGACCATTATTTCAGAATTCTAAAAGTACTTGAAGAGAACCTGCCTCCCACACTGATAAGATACTCTACAAACCATTTTGTGTCGATGTATGGAGACCTTAATAAGAGTCTTTTCCACACCTGCTGTCTCCAAAATAAGCCTCAGATATTACAATGTCTTCATCAAGTCAGACCTGCAGATAACAGTTGGCCCAGGGGACTAAGCCTCCAGTCAAGCCTTCATTGTTTTTCACTTGCGCTGTTGGTTTAAAAATGTATCTGCAGATTTCAATTATTTTTAAGAACGCTTTAATATCAAGTATATTATAGTATTAAAATTAACCTTCTCCTTCTCACTTCCAGGGCGACCGCGACACACAGGGGCCAAGTGATTTTCAAAGATGCCTTAGCCCAGCAGTTGTGTGAGCAAGGAGGTAAGAGCATAGCGGCCCTGTTTCTGTTGGTTCCCTCTGAGTTACTCACGGCAGGTCCTACGTGTTATGACTGGGCTGCCGTTTCATTAATTTTCCTTTATCACGATGCTTTAAATTTGAATTATTGACCACTTCATATCCCTACTCATTGTTTATTCATTTGTTATTGATAAATATTGACTTCTGAACATAATTACTGTCAGCAAACAAACTAAAAGAAAATTTATCCTATTTTCAGAAAATTTTCTCCTGAATCACTTTTAGTTGTTGCAAAAGTGATAAATTTAAAATTTAATAGTAGTTATAAAATTGTACAAAATTAATCCCCTTTAATTTGCCACTTAAGTTTCTAGTTAACGTGTTTCTCATTATTACTTTACACTGTACTTCCTATGGCCTTGATTCAATTGGTCTTATCATGAGTTATCATATATCTATAGATAGACATAATCAGTATGATTTTACTTAAGTAAGTGACATTTGATAAATTGTTGTCAAACTTCTAATTATTTGCTAACAAATTCTTCACTCAGAAATTTCCTCCACAGATTCCAAACCTATTCTCAGTATTGTTTGCTTAAATCGACTTTTCTTCTCTGACTTTCAAGAATGTCAACATTAAAAATATGCCTTAATAGGCAAACTCATGAACTCTGTCATAATGTAAATATTTTCCATATTATGAAAATATTTACTGAAAACAGAATACCTAAAAGCAGGGAGCATCAGCATCATGAAAAATATATAATGTCAAAAAAAAACTACATCCAATCATACTTACCAGTCCCTAAAATTTAAGTTCTCTTATGCTGTACAAATGTATAAGTCTATTATAATTGGGTTGGACTATTTAAAATTAAATAAAAAGCTAAGAATATTAATGGGAAAAATTCTGAATGAATGAGGGCAAAACCTATCTTATATCATAGTATTGCATGTGCACATAATTTATGTCTGGTCCCTACGGTGTTGTTTAAAACCGAGCCAGGACCTGAAGGATATCACTGAACTCTGCAGCACATAATCCACAGAAATTGCATTGTTGCAACCAAGATAAGGTGGGAGAGCGATGACTTCCTGCTGCCAGGGAAGTAGCTGGTGCTGGAAACCCTGTGTTTATTTTGGTTCTTTCTACTTTTAACTAAAACATGATTTCTTCAAATAAAATAACATATTTTTGTATGTAATGATTTTCTATGCATTGCACAAAGAATACCTAGTATGTTTATGAAAGGAAGATATACCCTTCCCTATATACCACAGCACAGGGCCTTCCATCTACAATATATTTTAATTTGTTGATTCTAATTAAGCAATTAAAACAAGGCAGATTTTGTTTTGTGGAGCTTGGAACCAGGAGCATTTGAGATTGCATTGGGAGCCAGAAATACCGAGAAAGTAGAAGTATCTGTTGTCTGAGAACAGAATTCCGGCAGGTCATCAGCTTTGCTTCCTTTCCTCGGAAGACTGTCCTGCAGATGCTGTCCCAGCAGCTGCCAGGGGGCTGCCTGGACTCAGAATCCCTCAGTTCTCATTCCCACCCCACTCACCCTCCTCTCAGTCCTGCCTGAAAGCTGCGTGAGGGAGCCCTAGTCCAGAAGTCCAGTGCTCCGTGTACCCCCAAACCATCCCTTTTTCCTTGATCAGATGACCTTCTGTTCTGGCTGACTCAGTCTTCCAGATACTCATGCAAAAGGAGAGAGAGAAAGAAAGAGAAAGAGAGAGAGAGAGAGAAAGAGAGGGAAGGAAGGAGGGAGAGAGAGTTGACAATAATAATGTTGTGGTGTTTCTGTCTCCATCCATTGTGATCACACAGTGGCCTTGTCTGAAGCTGATGTCTGTGAGATTGTTTATGTCCCACAAGAGGACACCAAGGCCCTGCTGTGTGGGCTAAACCAGCTGCCAGACGTCAGTGTTCTTCTCTCTCAAGGCTGAGGAGAGAGAGGAAGCTAGCAAGCCATCATTTACTTTCAGGTTTCAGGCTTTACAAGTCCTTTGCAGTCAGGGAACTGTGGTTGGAACTATGGTGCGACCTTCTTGGTTGGAGGAGGCTCAGCAATCACCTGGGAAGGCTCCTGCTGAGCAAAGACTCAAGCAAGGTCAGCGGTCGAGATAACAAGTAGGAGCTCTTCAGTAAGGGGAGAGTGTGAAGGATTTTCTTCTTAAGCTTGCCTATGTCTTCTAAAAGTTTAGAATGAAATTATATTAATTGAGTGATAAGAAAAGAACACAAATTCTTCCTGCCCCTAAATTATAACTATATGTTTTACCTTTTGAAGATGGAGGGGCACTTCTGCTGAGCAGTTGAACTGAACTATTTCTCAAGAACTGAAGAGAAATGTAGAGTGCCTATGTCGCTCCTGTGTGTTGACTGTCCTGATTCTTAACAAGGCCTGTCTCCGTGTGTCCTAATTACCTTCCGAGTGTCCATTTCTCCCACCTGGAAGCCTTTGGAAAGAGGAATCATGTCTCAGTTTCTTTTCCTTTAATATATAATATGCTTGTCTTAAAGCATGCGCTTAATGGATGATGAAGAATCAGTGTGAAGGATTTCCTATGGGAAACTCGCTGCCTCTCCTGAGGAGCGTTTCCCATGGATCTCTGTGGGACAGACTGGCTATCACAAGACAGTATTCTGTATACTCTTGCAAAATGTATGTTCTGTCTACTAACAATCTGTTAGTTAGCACTGGGGAGATGGCTCAGTCAGTAATGTGCCTGTCCTGTAAGCATGAGAACCTCAGTTCAGATCTCAGCGCTCACATGCTAAACCAGGCATGGCATAGATCTGCAACTCGAACACTGCGGTGGTGGAGGACAGAAACAATCTCCAGAGATAACTGGTCAGCCTAGCTTCATCGGTCAGCTCCCAGCTCAGAAAGAGACCCTGCCTCAAAAACCAGGAGAGAGTGATTAAAAAAGACACTGACTTCTGACCACAATACCCATGTATACACATGTGCATACACACCCGCATGCATGTATGTTCACATGTGTGTATACATACATGAACATACACGCACATCACATTCATCATACATACAAATAAATGTGAAAATTGTTCACAGATCTCCATTTCATCTCCAATCAATTGCCTTAGATCACACATTGGTATTTTTATTTCGTCTTATATTCTGAGGTTCTGGAAGTAACAGGAAACACTCTGCAGATGAGTTCTTCCAGTAGCCATGGTCCAGACAACAGGCTGGAGTGTATCCTCATCTCTGCCCTGGAGAGACTGTTGAGCTGCCCCTGCTGTTGGTGGGATGTTTTGTGCATGTGTATGGGGCTATATGCCCATGTTCATTCACTGGCAATAAAAAAAAAAACAGAAATGTCTACCAGTCCTCTCCAAGATTATTGAGTGCCTACTGTTGCAAGGAGAGGCTGCTTGTTCATTCCAGCCACTCAGCTACCTTAGCCCCGAAATAACCACGCAGAAACTATTAATTAAATCACTGCTCTAGTTTCTTATTGGCTAATTCTTACATCTTAATTTAACCCATTTTTATTAATCTGTGTATTGTCACATGGCAGTGGCTTACCAGGTAAAATTCCCTGTGTCTGTCTCTGGCAGATCCATGGCGTATCTCCGACTCTGCTTTCTTCCTCCCAGAATTCAGTTCTGTCTTCTCCGCCTACCTAAGTTTTGCCCTATCCAGCCAAGGCAGTTTCTTTATTCATTAACCAATACAAGCAACACACAGAGGGAACTCCCACATCAACCTACCGTGGGTGCTGGCTTTGCTAGGGTAGGTCATGAGGTATGTCAAGGAACAGAGCCCAGTTGGGTGGGAGGCAGGGGGAAGGATGGTCCCAGATCAGGAGGGTCTCAAGCAAAGGTAATACTGGATCAAAAACCCAAGGAGGAGCCAAGGAATTGGCATGTGCCTGTCCAAGGGACTTCCCAAAATGTCACTAAGATTTTTAAAGACAAAAATGGTAGTGAAGTGCTGTTTGGAGTACTTCAATAAAGATGAAATTTTAGAATAGGCTAAAAACTCTGAAGGAAGTGGAGTAGACCAGTTCTCCATAAGAATTACTATTGGGCAATCAAGAAAAAGATGGAATCATAAAATATTATGAATTACATAAAATTCATACTTGCTACATAGTCCAGAATATCCTTAAGGTTGCCTGATCCCCCTGCATCTACCACCCAAGTGTGTGATTACATTTTTATGCCACCACATCTAGTTCCAAGAAGATTTTTATTTTAAAAAATTAAATTTGAAAAATTCACAAGAATTACATGAGCCTGAATAAAAACAGTCACTGTTGCCAAAACCCTCCGACAACTCAAGGAAAAAGTTTATTCTTTATAGGATTATAAATCAAGTGTCCAGTGTGAAGCAGACGTGAGTAGGTCAACATGGCCGCGGCTGGACCAATTGTGCACACAAATCACGGCCAGGAATGGAGCAGGGAGAATAACGGTGTTATGTGTGTGTCCGCTGGCCTCTGGGCTTTTTGGCATACCTTCTTCAATCATGCACACTGATTATTTAGCAAGGCCAGCTGTCAGACTCAGTGGTCTGACCACAGGCATACCCTGTGGTGCCCCCGAAGGGTGCCTGCCATTTATAAACCGTGCTGGGACCCTCTGTGGTTGACTTGATGGCAGCGGTTAAAAAAGAGAATGCTTCGTATCGGAAGAAGAGTTCAGACTTACATCTGATGCAGAGAAGTTCGAACAACTCTGCCTTCCACTACCCTGGTAGGCTGTGAGGAGATGCTTGCTATGGGCACTGGGCTATGGTCATGGGCTCTATTGTTTCTTCCGGACATCAGATCCTTTCATTTTTAAATCATTTGTGTTAAGGATTGTGGAAATGTCAACTGTGAGCTGGAAGGGATGCAAACGTTGACTAATCAAACCCGTAAAGTAAACAGGGTATTAAACTTAGATGTGGTCCTCAAAATCTTCAAATGTACCTATAGCACAGGTTCTAATAGATCCTAATAATAAAAGTCTGGAGTCAGATGTCGGGGGAAATGCT